CTTTTCTTTTCTTTTCTTTTCCAACCTCCATCTCTATCTCCTCCTCCACTTACTCCTCCTCTAACTCTTGTGTTTGTTGCTAGTCTTTTGTTACTTTCTCTTGTTTACTGTCACCAATTACTTCATTCACTCACTCTCTCCGTTTGTTCCGTCTTTTGCAGGGAGACACGACTGCGTGCGGACAGGCGCGCCCTCCCCCCAGCTTCACACACACACGCTTTTTTTATAACTGTACCACCTCCCAAAAAAGAAGAGAAAAGCAACAACAAAAACAACAACAACGAAAAAAAAATACTTGAATGTGAAAAGGGGAAACAAAAACAAAAACAAAAACAAAAGAAACTTCAGGGAGCGTGCACAGGAAGGAGAGAACCCTGAGGGCCTCTCTCACACCCTCTCTGTCTCTCTCTCTCTCTGCTTTCGCGCATTTATGTAAGTAGTTGTGCATGCTTGTGTGCAGAAGTGCTCGGAAAAGTGACATGCGGCCCCAGTGGCCCTTTTCCATTTTCTTCTTGTACCTCGGTGTGTTTCCGTGTTTGCTATGGTGCCCCGTTTCTACCTTTTTTTTTTGTTTTTGTTTCTCTTCCTTACTGAACTATTCTTTGTTTTTCCTGATTTACGGTTTGACCATTGAACTGCGAATAACAGGGCCAGAAAGGACTGAAGGAGGGGGGGGACCGATAGAAAAAGAGGGAATTGGGGGAAAAAAGAACAGGGGCACAGAAATTTCTCTGCCCCAACATCACAACTCCACCCCACGTTCACTTTTTTCGTTTTTCTCAGAGTTGGGACACATACAGGCGACTAGGCACACTTTGTATGTGACCGTGTTTCAGACATTTTCCCCGTGTTTTTTTTTTTTTCACTTGGTGGCACTTCGATGTTTCTTGGTGCCCATTCTTGTGGATGTGTGTAGTAGTCGTTTTTTGTAAGGTTTCGACCACACTTCATGCTCGAAATCTTCCCAATGATGGTCGTTGTACTCGTGTCTGTGCGTGTGCAAAAGAGAGCGGAAGTGCGCTTATAGGCAGATGTCTTTTTTTTCTTGTTTTTGTTGCCGTTGTTGTTTATTCCCTTCCTTACCATCCGTGAGCGTAGCATGCGCCGAGGTCTCTGCCTGCGACGATGTCCTTCCAGAAGCATCCACACACTACGGGAGCGTTCCTTCGCCTTTGTTTTTTGTTTTTGTTAATTGGTTCTTTCGTTGCTTCCTTCTGTTCATTCTTTTTTTTGTGTGTGTTTGTGTGCGTGTGCGCCGTTGGGTGAAGTAAATTCCTCTTCCTTCCTTCCACGCTTGAGCTTCTGGCGGGCGCGTCTCATGTCGGCCGCTGACTTTTCCGCCTCCCTCATGTTGGCAGGGATGGACTACATAGCCCCTTCGGAGGCGTGCACCCTCCCTACGAGGCTGCAGCGCGGCGCGGACGGCTCCGTTCAACGTCATGCCTCTGGCAACGAGGTGGTGAAGATAACGCTGCAGGACTGTTTGGCATGCAGCGGGTGTGTCACGACGGCGGAGGCGATACTCGTGACTTCGCAAAGTCGTGCTGAAATTCTTAAAACTCGTGCTGCCGATAGGGACCGCCCTTTTCTAGTGACTGTGAGTGACCAGTCAGCCGCCTCCATCGCGACCCACTTGAAGGTGACCATGACAAGGGCCTTCCACATCATTAGTGGGTTTCTCCGCGCCGCCCTACAGGCACAGTACGTCTCTGACCTTCGATGGGCGCAGCGAGTTGCGGTTGAAAAGACGGCCCAGGAGTATTGCCATCGGTTACAGCATGCAAGAGAGAAGTTGCCCATGATAGTGTCGGCATGTCCAGGGTGGGTGTGCTACTGCGAGAAGCAGGGGTCTGCGGTTCTTCCGTTGCTGTGTCCAGTGATGTCACCGCAGGGCATCGCAGGCTGCTACGCCAAAAAAATCCACCCGCAGCTGTGTCATGTCTCTGTTCAGCCATGCTTTGACCGGAAACTGGAGGCAGCGAGGGACACTTCCCTTGATGCTGGAGAGAGGTGCACAGATTTTGTACTGAGTACCCAGGAACTTCTGGAATGGATGATGGAAACGGATGAATCCATTCCTTGGGAAGCCCCGCTGGACTCCAGCTTTGAGCCTCTCCCTGTTTTGTCACTGAAGGAGTCGAATAGCGTTCTTGCAGTAACTATGGAAGGAAGTGGTGGCTACCTCCGTTTTGCGATGCAATACACGGCTGAAAAGGTGCACAACTTGCCATTTTCACCTGACAACATCCTGTATGCAATGAAACGCAACGCCAATCACCATGTAGCAACGAGCCCCAGCAACCCTGGCGAAGCGTATTGTGTCGCCTACGGATTCCAGCATATACAAAACATTGTACGGGGCTTGAAGCGCAAGTTGGCATCGGTGGCATCCTACACTTTTATTGAATTGATGGCGTGCCCAGACGGCTGTCTCAACGGTGGCGGTCAGGTGCGAGGCGGGGGTCTGGCTACCAACCTGGAAACAATCACCGCTGTCAAGGCCACTTTTGGAAGGTGTTTGTTTCCTCACAGGGAGGACGAGGCCAAAGAAACGGAATCTACAGGGGATGTGACGGGCGCCCTTGCTTGCACGGTGAGTCAGCCACCTTGCTTCTCCCTCGCTGCCTTTCGTGAGGTGGAGAAGAAGGTCGGAACACCCCTCTGGGGTTGCGTCTTTCATGATCGCGAAAAAGAGTTTGAGGCGATGTTGAACAATGGGGGTGTGCAAAGCCTGAAGTGGTGATGGTGCACCACCCTTCGCTCGTTGCAAAAGTTTTTTTTTTTTGCGTGTGTGCTGTTTCCTTCTTGTTCTTCATGCCAGTTCAGCGGTTAAGGACAGACCCAGTGCGAAGAGGTGTGGCGGGGTCGGCGGGCGGCGACGCGTCTTCCCTCGTCACGCCCCGCCCCGCGTCGTTTTTCAGAGATTTTATTGGACGCCTTGTTGCTGCGGAGTGGTTTGGCGGCTCCTCACGTGTTCACACCTACAAATCCGACCATATTGACTGGATTTTTTGCTTTCCGTCTTGCCACTTCTTCTGCTGCTCTGGCGGACGCAAAAAAAAAAATTTTTTTAAGTGCCTCTACGGGGGGTGGGGAGTTGGAGGGTCTGAGAAACGCGTTATTATTTAGAGGGAGTAGGGCACCGTAGAGGTTGAGGTTCCGCTGCCGGGGGTGAGGCCTTACTGCGCCTCCCTCCTATACCTCAAAGCAGATAAATAGCGGGGAAGGGGGGGGGGTGAAAGAAAGGCGGAGGGTAAACGCCAATGTTAGGCGTTGGCTGGCTAATCCTGCTTGCACTGCTGCTCTTTCACGGCGCTGCGTCAGAAACAGGCCTTCTTGCCCGCCGGTGTCACATCAATTCCGACCGTTTCTCAGCCACAGCTACTTCCCGCGGTGAATGGCTTGACATCGCGTACGACATCACTTATAGTAAAGGACTGTGCGCGAAGGACAACCCAAACGGTGTACTCAGTGCCAACATCAACGGATGCAACAAGTCGTTGACGGCGCAGGAAGGGATCGTTACTTTTGATAATGTGGCTACAGTACTTTTCAGATTGGTGTCTGACAAAAAGGGGAATCAGTTATTCTTCTCACAACTCTGCTGGACTCCCGCAAATTGTACTGTACTGTGCTCCTCCAAAGTCCTTGGCACCGTATCCACCTGCGTCGTTGATAACGTCATTGCTCCATTAATAATAGTCCTCTTTTGGGTGCTGCCGTTTGTTGTGTGCTGCATCGCCTTGGGCGTTTGCTATGCCAGACTTCGAATTTTGCGGCGAAGAGAGATGCTTGCGCTGAGAGAACAGCACAGGCAGGAAGAAATATTTCACGCCCTACGGTTCCAACAAAGCCGCAGAATCAAAGATGGCAATGCAGCTTCTCTGAACTCCGCAAGTAACGTGAATGCTGATGCCTGTCAGGAAATGACAACACAGTGCGCAGGTGAGTTTCCTCACCGTGCGGGCGGAGGTATTGATGCAGCTGCGAGAAGCGACGGCGTTGTAAAAGATATTGGGTATCAATACGAGCTCAAGCCAGTTGAAGTTGGATTCTTGGAAAATATCGAGACTGTTAGCGAAGAACAATGCATGGCCACTTTCAACAATGGGGAGACAACTTACACAAACAATGAGATTACAGCTAGTCTGGCAAAGAACAACCCTCATGTTACTGAAGACGCAGCTCTACAAAATGCCGCAGGTCCTTCGGACTATAACACCAGGGAAACAAGAGGGTTTGGGTCGGAAGCTGTAGAGGCGGAAGCCAGACGTGCACTTGAGGTGGCAGAGGCGGAGGCCAGGGACGCACTTGAGGTGGCAGAGGCGGAGGCCAGACGTGCACTTGAGGTGGCAGAGGCGGAGGCCAGGGACGTGCACTTGAGGTGGCAGAGGCGGAGGCCAGACGTGCACTTGAGGTGGCAGAGGCGGAGCCAGGGACGTGCACTTGAGGTGGCAGAGGCGGAGACCAGCGTGCACGTTGAGG